TTCTTAACCACAAGAGAAGCAGATGTTGTGTCAAGTGTGCTTTATATTTCAACGAAATAATCTAAAAAACTATCACAAACAGTTGACGTAAAGTTTTATATACAATACGAATAATTTGAACTATACGGAGGCGATCCGTTGAAAAATTCTTACTGATGATAAAGCGACTGATAAAGATGCTAAAGATGGGACGTACGTAGAGGTCCCACAATATAAGGAGAAGCGACCTAATTGGCAAATTATTTAATGATCAAAATATTACTTAATTGCATTTGTAATTTTTCATCAGCAGCATTCAAAAAATCCAAAGCAGCATCATCCCTGAAAATGTCAACACCAGAAAATATAATGTATCAATAGTGTGAAAATTAACAAAACACCCTGCAGCTCATAGAGTAATCGTTTTCAAAATCGAGTAATACAAGAAGCGCCGGCTTTTCTTGTGTCAATCATGCTTAACACCACCACTGATTCATCATTGTCAATATAGTCGATTTAGAGCCATTCATTAGTCTTTAGTACTGTCGCTTTATCTTGCTAATAATATACATACAAATGTGACGGTACTGTGATGAAAATTATCGCGGTGTCACAGGGCATGTGTGAGTCATGACAGACTATGCACCATCAAAAGTTGGCAAATACTAATAAAGTTTGCACATTCTCGTAGGCGCCGAATAAGGTTAGTGAAACCTCTACGCAAACGTCATCGAAAATTCCGCTACTGGTAACTAAATAGCGAATTCTCAAAGGATTCAGCGTTCGTTGCGTGTCCAATATAAGCGAAACATTAAAAAGGATTCAAGCGGCCATTGTTAATTAAGTGGATATATTTTTTTATTTAAACTCAAACTATGAGCATTAATCGAGTAATTCAGTTGGTGAGACTTGAACAGTCGAACACAAAAAAATGAGATTGAAGTTCTCCGAATTTCAAGTTTAGATTGAGAAAGTTTTGATAACCCGGTAAGCCAAGGTCAGGGAAACTGCTCGTCCATATGCTCAGGATGTGTTAACGGAAGAACATTCTGCACGTTTGTGATTTTTTTAATTTTTTCGAACAATGTAAACGTGCGCACAAGTTAGTAAATAGTGTTCGGCTGGTGTAAATGGGCCGGCGAATACATCGAATTCGTCATCGGCGTAAGAACAGGTATCATCGGTGCAACGACACTTGTCACCAGTGTATGAAGTCATAACCAGTGCAAGAAATGCCCAATTCAAGCACTGTAGGCTTAGGCTGCGGTCACTTTCAACCTTTTAATATCTTGACAAATCTTGTGAAGTTAAATTCTAAATTTTTGTCAATAGTACTTTTTTGAACATGAGAAATTTACATCTTAATAACATCTTCGCGCACGCAGAACGTAACGGTTTTCAATCTGTCGTAAATTTATGTTTTTCTACATTTCAAGAATCGCACGATAGAACCACGAATGGAATAATAAAACATGATATTTAGCTACCATATTATGATTATCTGATAAAGTTATCAATTAAACTACGTAGAAAATCGGAGTTACTGATCGAAAACCCACGATTGCATATCAAATGAATGAGGAAGTTATACCGATAACAGCTTGGAACACAAGCTTGTAGCGATCAAATTAATTAATAGGAGGAGTTATTTTAATAACGTGTGGTAGATCCAATCAAAACTAAGCAAGTAAAATAAGACAGAAATTATTTTAAAAAAGCAAGACTGAAAATGTAATGAAGCGAAATGAAATCGATTAACGAAACTTTGCGAGTCGGAAATTTCGGCTTCGAGATTTCAAGCGAGTGTTTCAAAGGAAGTAATGCCACTGCAACAGGAGAAAAATACTGCGGTCGTTCGATCAAAACATTCAAATGCAAGAAGGACTAAGTAAAAAGCTGCCGATGCAAAAATTGCCTTCAATTCAGAAATAATTATCAGGTAGTGGGCTAGTAAATTTATTGTTAATGAAACACATGGCACTTGAATTATAATTTCGACAGAAAGAAAAAAAAAGTTGAAATTATGGGCAGTATTCCAGTTGAAATAGTTAAATACAAATTATTATGTCAGGTTTCATATTGACGGAAATTGAGGTGGCCTGTATGAAATGTGTCATGCCTCCATAGAATGAAAGTCTACGGTATTTTATCGTAGTATTTCAATGTCAATGAACTGATACTTTTATAACATGTAATGACATACAAGCAGGTAATTTATTCCTTCTGAGAAGAGAGATCATTGAAAACTTTTTCTCGCACAACTCGTACTTGAATCCGGCCATCCAGAGATCGAATAGAAAAACATTAATAAAGTCAAACAATAATACTCATACGAAACAAAAACCATATCGAAATAAAGCAGGCAAAGGCTCATGGGAACGCATTACATTACCATTCATGATAACTAACATTTAGAAGCCAGTAAATTCCTCCTTGTGACAATTTCAAAGCAAATTATGGTAAAGAGATGCAGCACAATGAAAAGAGCTGCCACTTCGACTTCATATTAAGTTATTATTTTTAATGTACGAGGTAAAAAAAGTAAGGCATTCTCCTAACAAAAATCCCCTGACACAGTGCTGGCACCTTACGCTTCCGTGGTCAGCGAAAATGAGCTATTCAAATTTTTTTTTATTAGAATCTTGATTATAAATTTAATCCCAAGGAGCATCTTAAGCGAACCCCAGGCTAGATCAGCGAGTGAGACCACAACCTGCAGATACTCACACACAAGATAAACTGCAAAGAAAATCAATGATAAGTAAAAATTGAAACAGTTATTGAATACACTTAGTCCTCTTTTAAACAATATAGAAATCAATCTCAGTTCAAAATTAAAAATAAGAACAGGCGATTTCTGATAATAATCGAAAGAAAATAATAACATAATAACGTGAAAAACACTACATAATGAATCGCAAAAATTCTGGGTTGGCGGGCACGTGAAAAATCGTCGAGGTGAAAATATTCTAATTAATCTACACTGACGTCATATTAGCAAGATTTTGCTTAAACTTCCTAATAAAATAATCTGAAAATCATGAAAAATTCTAGCGATGCTGACGAGTTCATTTATATTCAACGAAGTTATCTTCCAATCTTCTTGAACATACTACAGAGTGGAAAAATTTTTAGATAAAACTTCCGACAGAAACACCCACGAAATTATTCTTGCGGAAACTATTAAAGAGAAAGCAATAAAATCTGTCAGGCAAGAAAGCGGACATAACGCGTTTCCGCAAAGCGTTAAATCTAGGAAAATTGCGAAAATATTGCAACAGGCACAGCGGTCACAAAAATAGAAATTGGGTCCTAAAACTTGGTGGATTTTTTTTTTAAACTGGGGATTGAACACAGAAGAAATAAACGAGATGAAATCAGCCAAAAACGTATTTACCAACGCTACCAAATTTAGAAAAATATCAGGTAAAATAAACAAGGAATTAACTTTTAAGCAGAAAAAATAAGCTCCGAAAGCCAACTTAATAAAAGTTAGCTGGGGACGTTAATTGAAACAGACAAAAAAAAAGGAACGAAGAAAACCCCCAAAACGTTAAAAAAATCTGAATTCGAAAGTAGCTAAAAACGGAATTCGGATAAAAAATACGAAGCTAAATTGCAATCTAAAGGCAAAAGCGGCGATATAAAGGCTGAGATTGTGGAGAGGTGAAGGGAGGGGGTTAGCAATAATCCATCTCCCGCCAGATGCCAATTTTCAACCGGACACCTGCACCGGGTGAGGCATTAGCTACTGGCTCGCCGTCGCTCAATCCGCGATACGGAAAGCGCAGCAGGCAACACGTGCTCGCGCTGCTTTGGAAGCCAGAGACCGTGATATAAAAAAAATAGCTACGAGTTCGTATCTTCATCAGCCAACCACTGACGGGCTTATCAAACTAAACCCAACCAATCACAGACCAGAAATCGCTCGCATTGTACTTAGACCACTACACGTATCAAGCCGTTATGAGTAGTTGAGCGTATATTAAAAGTACGTCCTCAAGCCTCCGTAAAGCCTGATGCTGCGTGCAGTAAGTAGCCAGATGACCCTACTGAAAACGCAAGTGTTGCAGATGGACCTACAATTATATTACAGCTAATCCTTGTCTGAAGTTTTAGTTAAAAATTGCGCACTCTCGGACAATGCAGATGCGTCTGTTTTCACAATGCAGTTAATGCAATGTAAGATGTCACAATGCCACAGCAGAACTTCCCAGTTTAGCTGGTAAACCTTTGCAGATAAACTATAGTTACCTATTCAAATGCCGTTAGTGACGCATATTTTACGAAGCAGCAATCATTGTACATCGGAGGGTAGACCAGTTTATCAGTTTAGATTTTGGTCTTGTTGCTCTAAATCAATCATTCTACGCGTTGTAATTCGACACGTTGTAAGAACTTAAAGATCAAATGAAATAGAAAAACTTTCAAAAATGTCATGGCTACTTAATTGGAAGCTTAATTTAGGAAATAGAATTAGGGTACATAAAAGATGCTAGATTGAAGAAAATTTGATATAAATTATAGTTAATATTAGGAACGCTTTTTAAAGCGGATTTTTATTCTGCAGAAACATCGCAATAACGCACCAACTGCCCTTATCCACACTTGTCTAAAAAATCATGAGGCGCACATGCAGCAACAGTGAAGGTTGAACGCACATCGAAACACACAAGTAAATATTACAAGGGCGCACAATTAAAATAAGCGAGGCTCATAAAAATACGTTCGCTATATACCAAACAACGCGGCACTAGATATATTTGATGAAAATATTTTGCATAGTTTGGCACTGAAAACTTTGATTTGCTAATTCAAATTGGACATCCTAGTTGTAGGTATAGAATGATACCATAGATAGTAGGTATTCAATGCTAACAAAATGATTGTACGTATTGTATGTACACAGGTATTGTAGGTATTGAATGGTAACACATGGATTGTATGAATTAAATGGTAACACAGGGATTGTAGGTATTAACTGGTAACACAGGGATTGTAGGTATTAACTGGTAACTCACCCTCTTGGTGGAGTCCCTGGGGCACTGATCGCCCGCAACCGTTCCAAATATTGTCGGCTGAAACAAAAATAAAGAAAGTTAATAAAACACAAACACATTTCAACACAATAAAAAAAGAGTATGCCGAAGCAAAATACAATCTGAGCTGTAAAAAAATTACAATTTAAATATTTTACGCGCCATACAGCAAATTGAAAAGTTAGCCAAAGCGAAATACTGAAATTTGGGGCAAAAACTTCTGCCATTTATAATCGGAATATTTTGCTAACCTAATTTAGTGGTTAAAAATCACTAGAATTTTAAAGCCATCTATAAAAACCGCCGACATCTAATGCCATCACTAGGTTCCAGGAAAAGCATTTGATTGCGCGGCTTCCAGTAAAGCCAATATTCGAAATTAAAATTTGACGTCGTAAGATGAGCTTGATAAGATGACGCGCAAGAAAGCCAAGTCTGGTAGCCAGGCTCGCCGGACCTGGAGCTCGCTGAGTCAGCAACAAGATTACAAGACTCGTAGCCAAATTACGAATAATGTGTAACGACACGGAGTTCCGAACCGGGAACTATGCAAAAACTTCTCGACACTTTCAACGGCGATGCTGACGATCCAGTCACGACTGAAGCGACAAGTTAAATTCTCGAAACATTTACGATCTGAAATGTAAAGTGATTCTTTTTCAATATTCAATAAAAATGAGTTGTAGAGAGATCATACATGAGTTTTGAAGGTTTAATTTGGCATACGACCAACGCTTGAAATTTTACTGTTTTCAATCATCAATTTTCATAGGATTGAAAAAAAAATAAAATTTTTCATTCGTTGGACTAATACCTAATAAAATTCTATTATCGACATAACATGACGGTTACCCTTCAGACTACTGATATAACACGAAAAAATTACACAATTCGCACACACTTTAATTTAGTTTACCGAGAGTGTTTTAAACGTAATGCACTCAGTTCAAATAATATTACAAAACTCCCTCCATCAATCTTTCAAAATATCAAAACCCATGGCATTGGCCCAAAACCTATCGCATAACTTATCCTTGCGTTGTTATTATTAAAAAATTAACTTATTTGTAATGTTTAGCGAGTTAAAAAGACCAGTGAACTTACCACACGCCCTCTATCTACGGGCGCCGGTGACCCCGGGGTGGATGATGCTGGAGAACACAGCGGTGAGAGATTCGAGGCAGCGGGGTCAGAGAAAAAATAGAGTTGAAATACTTGCTCGATGTCTTGCTCTTGCAGTCGCGAGATAAGTCGCCGCCGTTTCCGTCTCGCTTTTTTGCTCCATGAGCAGTACGAGTCAGATCTGGGGCTAGACGTCACGGGTGATCCTTCAGAGCTATGCGAGCTGGAGATTTGTTCTGCTTTAACGTCAGTCGTTGCACAAGTCATGCAGTCTACGGTATTAGGAACTTCTTTCGTCTGTGAGCGTGGGCATGCATGAACCGGAGATGACAGTTTCAGTGCGTTTATCTTTTTATCGTGATTATCGAGTAGAAGAATTTCTGCGTCAGGTTCACATTTCAGGTTGGCGGTGGGAGACGCAATTGCCGGGGATCTATGGTCTATAAGCCTCGCACCGCAGAAATTATCTTGCTGAATTGGCACCCGAACTTTGCTTCTATGGTCGTTACTTTGGGGATAAATTACCTCCTCATTTACAGCGTCTTCGATTACCGCAAACGCACCGAGGCTAGATTGAGGGTGCAAACAGGTTTCGAAATCCAATTTACTCACACGCCCTTCTTCATATTTATTTTCTTTTTGTTTGGTTTGAGGATCGATTTTGATTGGATTTAGGACTCCGTACTGAATTAAATAATTATGTAGGTCCTCGAGCGATCCATCTTGTTCGTGACGATCAGTAACAGGCGTGACCGCTCTGGAGTCCAAGGAGTGCGGAGGCTTTTTATTTCTCATTCCAGGGGTTGTCTGAGGAGAAGGTGTTTTATTGCACACGTCAGGGAGACTAATGAAGCTATCAGGCGAAGTATGCGACTGAAACGACCGAAAGGATCCTTGGGAGCTGTTGTCAATGTATGGAAAATTACGATAATTAATTGGCCGAAAAGAATCGCCAACCTCAATCGACGAACGTTTGCTACTTCCGCCAGAACATCGCTCCTGGCCAGAAGATGGACGCAACCATAATATACTTCCGTTGGGGAAGAACTGCCCATACTGACAGTCTAAATTGTCATACACGGTATGATTGAGACCAACGCTTAAACAGCTATACGTTGATGCCGAGGAATCAAAACCATCCAATTGGAAAGGATTTGCGATATCTAAACTTCCCGACATTTGTGGAGGTGAACTCGTCCCTTGACTGTTTTTATCCCAAACATTTGAGCAAGAACTATTATTGTCAGTGGAATTTTCCATCGACGACACAGAATTCCTGCACGCGAGCTCTGGCTGAGGTTCTCGACTTCTAGTGGTGTCGTGCATTGCATTGCACACCAGCGTGCTTTCGATAGAATCTGATCCGAGAAAATATTTCGGATCGCGACACGTATTCTCTGACGACGAATTCGAATCATTCGATCCGACTGAGGAAAATGAACTAACGGACTCATGGCCCATTACTGGAGAGATAACTCTTACCGTCGGATGTCTGGCCAGTTTCATCTTTGAAAATAATGACTTGGTGAAGGGAGGAGTGGTGGGGGTTTCAGTCAGTTGAGTTGATGTAGACGTTAATAAAAGCTTAGTTATTGATGACACAGAAGAACTGCAATCGTCTAGTGAAGAGAGTGACGGTAATTTAGGTATCTTTGTGCGGTTCAGCGAGACAACAGTCGATTTTTGTTCCTGTAAACTATGACTGAAATTATCTGAAATGTAACTGATGGTACTACAGCTTAATGACTTCCTCAAGTGTAGAGTTGTTGGGCGCTGAGTTATGACTGAAATTATCTGAAATGTAACTGAGGGTGCTACAGCTTAACGAGTGTAGAGTAGTTGGGCGCTGAGGCGGTGCAGTTTGCACTAGTAGAGTAGGAGTTTCAAGCGTTTGATGTTCCTCTGGCGAATGAACTGCGTCGGCATCTTCGTCGTTTTTGTTGGAGCTCGAATCATCGGAAGCCTGACAACCGGCGTATTTTGAGGGAGACTCAAAACATTGGGCACCATCAACGAGGGAGGATGTCTCAAAATGATTATTGTCAAACGCTGACAAGACATTATTCTCTTCATTACTTCTATTGTGCAGAGAAATAACGTCTAGATTACAGTGGTTCAATTTCATGCCGGATTTTACATCAAACGAATGTTCCAGGCTGCCATTAAATCCACCAGTAATTTCATCAGGATAAATTTCAATGCTATCTGCGGGCTGTGGTGAATTGTTGAAATTTAAATCATAGAGATTGGGTTCATCCGAACCACGGAAGAGACATCCAAAATCTGGCATCATCCCGTTGGCTGAAATTGACTCCATGATGCTGCGATTGATAGGTTTCAATTTAAAGGAATCTGTTCGAAAGTTCATTCCACTCGCATCAGAAGACTTGCAGCTCAATCTGTTCCTTAAAATAACAGATTCCAATGGAGATTTAACCGGAAAAATTCTGGAATGCATGCCAATAAAATTTGACGGACTTTGTTTGGAACGTGGATAATTGTAAATATTCCTGCAGGTATTTTCAGTAGATTCAAAGACAATTTGCGAATTGTGTCGGCAATTTTCCCCGGAAAAAAACTTTTGTGAACAAGAATTGGGTTCAGTAATAGTTGAAATTAAATAAGATGCGCGTGGTTCAGCCGTCGAAGATACGTCGCATTCGTTATCAATAAAATCATTTTTAGTAGTGACATCAAATCTTTCTTCCAAGATGCCGTTGATTTCGTTATTTTCTGTAACTTTAGAAGAATCTAGAAACCTCAAACACTGCAGACGCTTGAAAATTTGTGATTTTGATAGATCCTTTTGACAAGAGAGACTATCTCTAACATTTTGCAAATCTCCTGTACCATGAATCGCAACATCAAACGTCTCTTCTCGGTCACTGATATTGTTTATGGAGGAAGTTTCTGGAGACACCAAGGCATCACTCTCACAGAGATCAAAGCCGTCGTCCGGCAAAACATCAAGCGGGCATTTTTTCTTGATCCCAAGACTTCTCCCATGATCCCCAAGTGCGATCCTCAAATTTGTTCGCTCGCCGACAAAGGGAATTGGTTGGGTATCGATGTGGTCGCAATAAGGAGCGTTCGTACATTTGGCGCGGCGATTTATCTCGAGGGTTGCAGAGGTGATCCGGGATACGCAATAGCTTGCTTGTTTGTCACAACTGTCGCCAGTGAGAGAAAAGTTCAGCTTGGAGAAGATCAAAAATCCTGATAACCAAATAATGATGATAGCAATAGCGATAATTAACATTTTCCTCGGGATACTTATGTAGGTTCTTCAATATCAGCAAGTATGAGATTAAATTCGTCCGATATTGTAAACATTATCACACGCAGAAGCATCTTAATTCTTGACACGTGATTGATCGATCGATTGACAACAAATGATTGTTCCGCTATTCTATATAAATAAATAAAAAATATAAATTGAGACTAAAGAATTTTTGAATTAACATGTGTAACTTGTAAAAACTAATTAGAGTTACAGTTTTCTACATAGTCTCCTACACTTTTTAAATGTCAATTTCACTCATGATAATGAGCGAGTTTCCCTATTACCTACATAGTTGCAGAAAATCTCGAATACAAATATGATTACAAATTTAATTAGGCGAAAATATACCATGGCGGTTAAAATATGAGAAAAGGGAAGAAAAGTGATCAAAATTCATTGGGGATGTAACTAGACTTAATGCTTACGGCAGCATAGTACACTCGAGTCATTCCGTTGAAGAAGCCAGGTTAATAGGGTCGATGATAAGGCCAAGATGTTGTTCCTCGATCTAATGAAAAGACAACAGACTACAAAGGCGACAAGAGCAAAGTGCACATGAGAAAGTGATAAAAAAATATAACTCAGTACTCACTGCAGTGAGTGACAGAGAGCGCATGTTCTCGTCGACGAAAAC